ATGAGGTCACCAGGAAATATTGTGATTTCCTTTTATTTATCTAGGAACTCAGTGAAAACTCTGTTCCACAGAACCTAAAGCCCCTCCAAAGGAGTTCAAGTGAGTGGCAGTGCTCTTTTTTTCTGTAGAAACCAAGTTCTAATCACTTATTAGAGATGATTTAATAATCCCTATAACAGCTCCTCCTTCAAATTCTGGCTGGTAAATCCCACGAGGAAAATACATTAAACTCGAACTAAAAGCCTGTTTATCTCTGAAGTACAATTTCCTCTGGAGGCTCCTTTTCCAGCAAGGCTGTGGGCAGTGCTGGGTTCCTAACACAGCAGCCAAAGCCATGAGCTTAACACCAACATTCTGCCAGCTCAGGAGAGGGGAATTCAAACATGAATACTCCTTGCTCAACTTTTTAATTGCATTTACTTTTTCATCTTTCTGTGCTAATACTGAAGCATGGATACAGACGCATGTGATTACACATTTAACTTTCTCATTATTTTCCAGTGAGCAATAATTGCAGGAGCTCTGGTTAAAAGGAAACTCAGTTAATTACATTGATGACTTAGTGAATTTGAAGAGACTGTAGCAAACTATATTGTGATGGGAGTTTTTAGATTTTACAATTAATTGTCATTAATCACAAAGGAAAATAATGGATTTAAAAACTGATTATGGCGAGAAGCAGTTTGATATAAAATATTTGTAAAATAAAAACTGTATTAATTTGTTATGATATATTGCAAAGAAAAATAACCAAAATCTACAGTCCTATGAAGAAACACATCTTAATAAATGGATACAAGTTGAATAAAAGGAGAAGTAATGACTTGGTTAAAGCTCAGAGGAAAACAATGCCAAAGTCATGCACCTTAAATGAAGAATGAGTAGATGGATCTGATATATGGTGCTTTTTTTTAGAGGAAGCCTCTGTTTGGAGTGCAAGTCACTCCAGCTAATGGCTAAGTGATGTGCATTGACAATCACATTAGCCCTTTTTGCTATTTTAGTCAAATAAGGCTAATCATTTAGTGTGCCTAATTTATATAGCTATGAGGGCGGGTTATCAGTACAGATGTACCGAGGCATAAAAGACTTGGGAACACTGACCTATCTGTCAAATTTGATCAGGCCCAGTGAAATTCAATTTGTTAATCTTGCCTCACAATCCTCCCCTCATGCAGTCTGAGCACTAATAGGTTTTGTGCTGCACTGAGAATGAGCACAGGCTGCAATGAAACTTCTTGGCTGGATTAATCAGTATCATGCATGTGAGATGTTAACTCCTGGAGCAAGGGGTAGTGTCAAAGACATATTTTATGAAAAATCCTTTTGCCAGGATCTTTTCTCCTGAGATACTGAGAAGCTTCAGCTTCTCCATGTTTTGCTGCTTTGGAATGTGATTTTGAGAATTGTTTACCCAGCATGTGAAATTGTTTTTACTTGATGACCAATGACTGCCACCTGTGTCGAGGCTGTGAGCAACCACAAGATTTTATTATATTATTTTATTAATAGAAGGAATAGAATTCCTTCTATTCCTTGCTAGCCTTCTGATGAAATCCTTTCTTCTATTCTTTTAGTATAGTTTTAATATATCACTTTCTTCAATATAATATATATCATAAAATACTAAATCAGCCCTCTGAAACATGGAGTCAAGATTCTCATCTCTTCACTCATCCTGGGACCTCTGCAAACACCACCACAGGGTAGGACTTCTAGAATTGGAAGGCTAAAAGTGAAAATCTGTAAATACTTGTGATATATATTTGCATATACCCAGTTCTTACCCTAAATGGCCACAATTCAATGTTTTATTGATAATGAAGAGAACAAAAGAAATGAGGGCTGATTAAAGAGATAGGATGCTCCCTTTTTGCATGCATACATATACATTTATACTCAAGGTTCAAAAGTTAAACAATGTCAGATATACATCTCTGGACTTCCAAATTCTCTAAAATGGAAGTAAAGCTCACTTTGTGCCTAAAGATGAAGTTTCTGAGGTCAAGAGAAGCATGTGGCTCTCCCAGTATTCACTCAGACCTCATTGCAAAAGAAAATGTCATTTTTATCAGCTACCTAAGTTTACCTAAGTAAACTTGGTCTTTGAATCCTGGAGATGTCCATAGATTCTGGATACAGTGAATTGAAATAGCACAAGCTCTTAAAAATTACTTTTTGCTGTTTCCTGTCAACTCTAAGAGCAGCTACATTTGTACAGATGATTTTTCCCATGTTTGAAGCTCTACCTGGATGGGATGTTTGACAACAAACCCAGATGTTTTCTGCATCAAAAACAATATTCAAATCATTTTGGCTTGGCAACTTGACCTAATCCATATGACAGCTGAACCTATTTTTAAAGGGAACTTGGAGAATCATTATCTGGACACGATTTCCCAATTCTCCACTGATTTGAGGCTTATCAGCTGTTGCAGACTCTGGGATGACATACAGTGTTTTAATGCTTGATAATTCTCTAATTTCACATGTGTTATTGATTGTGTATATTATTTCAATAATTCCTAATTGCTGTCAGCTTGTTTACTACATGCATTGTTTTGCTCTGATGTTTCTCCATGCTTGTAACTAAAGGATGGTAGAAAAATTCACTACAGTATTAGAGTCATCCTTTCAAAGGAGTTTTCTACCTTGTATTTTCTCTCAACACCATACAGGACAAGAGACCATTCCTGTTTTCCAGTCCCTGCCCAAATTGCATACAGAAGCTTACTGGATTGAATTAGGGAGAGTCAAACTCGAATTATCATTCTGTGCCTCAGTTTCAGACAAATTGGGATAACAGCTGTATCCAGCTATAGACTCCAGCAGATCTACTTGGTCCTTCAATCATGCCAGAATATTCAAGAAATTGTTCTGGAACACAAAGAACATTGGCTAGAGGACAATGACAACAGACTTAACTGGTCTTAAAAAGTTTTATCTATTCCTGGCAATAGAAAATAATAAAGAAATAAGGTCAACAACCTTTCCAAACAACTGAGTTTTTCCCTAAGTATAGGAATAAATCAATGTTTCTTTATTAGTACAGGTAGATATAACACTGAAATCATATGGGAAGCATTCAATTAACATCCATGAGGCTTGACAGATGCACTGTCTGGGAAATATTTTGTTTTTTCTCCCATTAGATATCTTTATATAAGCCTGTTCTCAATGTTATGCTGCCTATCAGTGGACATCAGACTGAAAATATAAGGAATGCAAAGTCACAAAGTCAACTCTCCTGGAGAGGTTGCTCGTGACCACTGTGGAAATAAACCCCGCTTGCCACTGGAGTTTTATTTATGCCTGAATCTTTTTACTTTAGGGCTTTCTCACCAGCACAGAACAGCTGTGATCAGCTGATTTCCAGGGAACAGTTCTTCCAACATCTGCACAAGTTCTACACCACCAAGACACCCAAGTGATGGGGGTAAAAGTGATGTCATTTGAAAGCCTGAGAAAATTTCATTTTATTCCTTATTTATCAAGATTAAACCCTGAAATGGTATGGCACAAACAAACAATCTGAAAAAGGAGCAGGGAAAAGAATATTAAAATCAACCAACCAACCACTGAACCAAAAGAAAAGCTCTCTTCTGGCCCAATTATTATTCTGACATGAAATTTAGGAAAAAAATTATTTTCTTAGGCTGTCATATATTGCTATTTAATCAGTTCTACCACATATTAGGAGGTTATCTTTCCATACCATGAAAAAACACCCAGCACTAAAGACCTTTTGCCATAGCCAGGACTTGCCTCATGACTGATGGGTCCTGGAAAAAAAAGTCTCTAATCTGAAAATCAATTTAAATAGAGTGACTCTTTTTTTCTGTCTCTTGCTTTTTCTGCAGAATGGAGCCACCAGTACATCCATGATATTCCCCAGTGTGAGTGGAGCTGGGTATAAATCACCACAGAAGAGAGACACCAAGTTCCATTTGTGTGCAGGTGATTTCTGAGCACAGCTTCCATGGCATCCCAGTGGCCAAAAAGTATTGCAGTTCTCTAGTTTATGAATTATGGTTTGGGACTTGCTTTCCTTATTCTCTCCTTATACATCTGAGGGAAGTTCAATACTTCCCTATCTATGGTGTTTTGTTAGGTGTGAAAAAATAAAATCTCAGTTATTTCTGTTGGTTAAAATCTTGTTAGAATAGGGTTTTGCACTCAGGACAAGGAAACACGTGTGTGATTTTTCCTATTTGCTTAGGACTCATATGAGGATGCAAAAAACAAACAAACCAAACCCTAGTGATTGTTTAAACTAAAAAAACCTGGATAGTGATCTAGCCTGATGGTGACATTTAAAGCCTCATATCAGTCTCTGGACAGAGAGCTCTCCTAGAAGAGCAGGAAGATCAAGGAGCAGCACAACTGCAGCTGATGTCATTGACTCCATCACCAGGGAAGAAGGCTCAGCTTGGGTGAGCCTATAAATCCCAATTTAGATTTATAAAGCTTTAGTGAATTCTTTGCCGTTGTGCACAAGTGAGATCATGGCCCTACCCTGACACTCCTTTAAGGAGCTCCTGCTGCATGGTGTGTGAGCACAAACCCCAGGGCATAATAAAAGTTACGTATATTTTTATTTTTACATATTTTTATATATCTCTATGTGCAGATGTTTGATGCAGTTATAAGTTATCCAGCTAGCCAGAAGACTTGGTGAAAACTTTTTAAACTCATATTGAAATACAAAACTAACATTTGGATGTTGCCACATGGCTGAGGATGTGTTTAAGTAAACATAGAGCATTAAAGCAAAGTAAACCTCTCTCACTTCAATGTTCACTTGTCTGAGGGGAAATTTTAGGGCTTATTTTACTTCCTTTATTTTGCTTTCAGCTTTCTCCACACAGCTATTGAACCAGAGTGTTAATAGTGAAATCTGCATCTCAGAGAACCTGATAAATTGGGAATAATTATTAAAAAGCAAACCAGACATAGTTAAATCTCAAGACAGTGTGCTGTAAAACAATGCATTGTTGTACCTGCAATGATGTCATCCATTTGCTCCAAAGCTGCTTCCAGCATATGACTGGCATCAGAAGCCATCCTGTGGGATTTCTTCAGATCTTTACTCCCTCTACTGAAAAGACAGAGTAAACCATATGTATTACACTAAATAGCCTGATGGCAAAATATATGTGACTGTCACATTATGCATTAGGCTACACAAACAAAACCCATACTACAGCCTGATAATAAGAAAACTAAAAAAACTATTCCTGTTCTTGATAGATGACTTGGGAGTTCTGATTCTTTTTTTTAAAGAGATTTTACTAAAACTTTACTTTATGCAAATAAAGAAATCCCAAAGAATTTCAAATACTGGAAGCCCAAGATTCTCCTGCTCCTCATCCTTAACAATGGTTTCCTAGATTCAAAGTTCAGTGCATTTCAGCCTTTTCCTATGTGGGGAAAAAAAGAGGATTGACTAAGATTCAATAAAGGAATGAAGACATGGGGCAGAACATGTCTTTCCTACAAGCAAAAATCTGTAGGAATTCTGCTTTTTGATTTTTTCCTTAATAGTAAAGAAAATTCTGAAATATTCTGTGTTTTCACCATCGCCATCTCTTTCATGACACCAAAAATCCCATTTTTTCCTGTTCAAATACCAAAATGTCCCAGGTATGAGTTCTCTGAATTTACTGCTGCTACTATAAAACAGGATTAAATACATTCATGTTACCACCTGACACTGGGGATAACAAAAAAAAAAAAAAGAGAAAAACCTTCCAGAATGAGTCCCTGCTGGAATTGGTGCTGCTGGACTCTAAGTCAAGCAGCAGCTGCTGCTGCCAACAGATGACATTTCAAAGGGGAGAAGAATTTATGCAGTCTATTTCACTGCCAGTGAAAAAATCCCCTTTTGCACATCACTTCATGGCTGAGGCACGAGAGCAGTGCCCACACAGAGAGGAAACAGGGATGACTCCTGTGCCTGTGGCTCACAGGGCTCCAGCACAGCTCAATGCACCCACAGAGCCCACAAAGGCTCACAGTATTTTGATTTCTTCTCCATGAAGGCTGCAATTCAGTCTCTCAGCATTCAGTCTTTTTTTTTTTTCACAGCGAGTTGTAAGAGCTGTGGTTGAAAACTGTGCGATTTTAGCAGATGTCACCAAAGATACCAGTCTGACAATGGACAGAGGTATCCTTCAAATAACTCAGGTTGTGAGTAGGTGTAAATGCAATGGGCCTATGATTCCAATGCTATTGAAATGCCACAAATATGTGTTTATCATGGGATTACTTGTGCTAAGAAATGAAGCAGTTTACATTGAAATAAATATTACAATGAAAATTTGCACCATCCGACCAAAATTGTTTTCTTCTCTTGAAAACTAATAATCCTGGGACATGGGTTTTTCCTCAAAGAAATGGGTTTCCTCTTCAAAGAAAGCTAACTTATTAAGAACCTCTGTGTTATCAGCATCCTATGTTGATTCCAGTTAATGTAGATAACCCCAGGATCCAGACAGACAGAAGCAGGAATGAGTCAGGAACTGCAACATTCTCATTTGAACTCTGCCATTTACAGCTTGTCACAGTGGGTAAACCACGATTTAACTTCAGATCACATTGATCTGAAGAGTAATGTGAGAATGCCTCATCCCCACTGTCACCCTAGGGTCAGATTAATGGAAATGAATCAGTGGTTTTGGTCCCTCAGTTTTTTTTTGTCAAAATAATCTCTTAAGTACAAGTGATGCTAAATTTAACCAAAGTACACGTCACCCAAATATTTCACTGAATGGCACTGGAAATAACATAAATTTTGCTCAGGATAATCTGGAAAGTCATTAAGTCAGCTGATATAAACTTAAAATTTCAGAGTGCTTTCTTTCACATGTGAACTTTCCAGACACTCCCCCCGATCCCGCTGCTTCCATTTGCGGGTTTTTGGGAGACTTCCATCTTCTGTTGCCACATCACAGGCCACCAAAGCCCTCTCAGCTGCAATGATTCTCCTTCCTTGCAGTATTTCCTCTAGTTCAAAGCAGCCATACCACGGGGAATAATCACCTACAGGGGGCCAACAGGTGGCAGAGGGGCACCAAGGCTCCCATGCCATTCCCCCAGGAATGCATGGCCACCAGCTCTGTGGGGAAATCAGGGCAGCAGATCTCTGGCTCAGAGTTAGAAGGCAGAAAAAGACTGAAAACCGCTAAATATAGCATAGAATTCCTAATTCTAGGTTGCACTCCATGCTTTTATTTGTGATAAAAACAGCACACCACTGGAGCAGTGCATGGCTGTTCAAACAAGAAATGCAGGACTACATTTCTTGTTAACATCTGATGGAGTATTTCATCACTTGTGGTGACAAAGGCACAGAAAATGCTGATATACTGCATTACAAACTTGAAAATTCACTGATGGAAAAACACCTCCCATCAAAGCCTTGGCAAAACCCCGAAAGTTTGGCTGAAACACTCCACCAGAAGTGAATTTCCGATCTCCTCCCTGCCTCCACAGCCTATTTTCTCACCTGTACCCACTGAGGCTTTGCTGCCTAACTGCATTAAGCTATAGCAAAACCTGCTGATCAAACAAGGATTTATTAATAAAAGCAATGTTCTTTGCTCCAGAGAGATAATGTAATATTACTCGTTTGACATCTTTTTCTAGACAGACCTGTTGTGTGTGCTCCAGGCAAGTCTCACTTTCCCAGACACTCCCTCTTTACAGTTTGGCTGCTCTGAGCAGTATTAATGAAAGAGCTTGTTAGATCTCCTGGGCTTTCAACTACCATTTATGATCTAATTCTATAGAAATATCTTCAACTATGGATTTTTAAAAAAAATTATTAAATAACAAGACACTTGTAACAGCCCCTCAAACAGGATCCATCTGTTTGCTGGTATTTAATTACAAATATTTTTTACAGTTTTCATTCCTGAATGACATCAACATATGCAGAACACCATGACTTATTTACTTATGTAAATATATACATATATTTAAAAAAGAAAAAAAGCTTTTTCAGCTTTGGTAAGGATTGCACAAAAGCTACCTTTCACATTACAGTACAAGCTTCAATATTAGCAAATTCTAACCTTCAGGATTTATTAGATTAATTCACATGCCAGCAAAATACAAGAACCAGGCTACTCACCTTTTCAGGTCTCTAGGAAGAAAAGAATTTACTTTATTGCCTGACCAGTGAAAATTCCTTGCTATTAATAGCTGAAGTTTTACTGTTAAGCAGACATAAATCTAAATTATTATCATCCCTTCCAAGCCACATGCTCATATTCATTTAGAGCCCAGCCCACAGAGATATTGCAACCCTGTTTGTTATAATTGCCTAAGTAATGACATCTTCCAGGAAGTGCAGACAGAGCAAACTGGTCTGAACTCCTGAAATTTATTCTGCTAAGATAGTTTTGCACTGTACAACCTAATCTGAGATTTGCATTCCAAATAAAATGAAAAATCTCTGGTGGAACTATTGTGCTCAGAGCCAATATATCCCTTGCAAATTTCTTAGCCTACATTCTCTATGTAAAACTACAACTTACTGTGTCCAAAGGTACATAATATTTAACAGACATCTTCACTGTGAGCAAGATGTTCTTCAGATGTTCTGAAAAGCCTTAATTAAATTTGAATCTTTCATAGCTGGCTTGAACCAGCAGCTGCTCAGAGAGAAGAATATGAACAACATGAATTCAGGCAACTCAGATGTTTTCCCAAGGTTGCTCACAATAATGAGGTTATCAACTTTATCAATTATAAGGGGTGTGCTTTTTGATAGAAACTCCAGAAATCCAGATCTTGTCTGTGGCCTACAAATTCCTCTCACATTTAGCTGACACATGTAACAATTAACTACCACCACCTTTTTTTTCCTAGGATGAATAAACACATGCTTGTAAACTCTTTAAATACTCAGATTTGAGTATTACATTGCTTTGTACTTAATGGCATAATGAAATATCAAGTGCCTTGGGTAAGCTCAGAAGTCCTCCAAGCTTTCCTTCAGCTGCAAGATGACTCCTGCCCTGGAATGCAGAAATCTGCCCAACTCCCACCCTTTTTTTCCCTTTCTTTTCCCCCAGCCACACTCTGTGCAGCATCCAGACAGGAGCACAGCCACTGATTCATCCCTCCAACTCATGGCTCCATCAGGTACAAAAGTTATAAATTCATGTTTGGATCCTGGCCTTTTAGAACCTGCTGGAACTCTCTAATTAAGGTAATCCTCAATCCTGACTAGCAATCCAGGGAACAGAATCATCTCTGATGGTCACTAGAATGACTGCCTGAGGAATGCTACTCCTCTCCAGCCAGAAATCCCAGTTATCTGACAGCTGGGAGAGCTGGGCTTGCTCAGCCTGGAGGAGAGAAGGCTTCAGTGAGACCTTCCAGCAGTTTTCCAGGGAGAGGTGGAGAGGGACATTTCACAAGGGCAGTAGTGACAGAACGAGAGCTAAGAGCCTTAAGCTGAAGGAAGGCAGGTTTGCATTCAATATCAGGAGGAAATTCTTTACTGTGAGGGTGGGCAGGCCCTAGCACAGGGTGCCCCAGAGAAGCTGTGGCTGCCCCTGGATCCCTGGAAGTGTCCAAGGCCAGCCTGGACAGGGCTCTGAGAAACCTGCCCATGGCAGTAGGGGTGGAACCTGGTGATCTTTGTGGTCCTTTCCAACCCAAACCATTCTATGGTTCTACCTTAAATTTCATTTATTTTATAATACAGACAGTACTTGCTCAATTTCCCCTTCATATGCTTCACTGGAATAGGCAGAAAAATAAAAACCCTCTTCTTTCATTGATTATCCATTCTGTAATAAGTAAAATCAAGGTTATTTCAAAGGGTTTTTAAGAACAGCTAGGCTAGGAATAGAATAAACCAAGTTTATTTTGAGCTGGAAAGTGTGAATTGCCCACAGGGAGGCAGAATAGGCAGCTCTAAATAGAAATATCAATTAGCCAAAGTTAAACAAAGACCTGATAGCAAATCACTTCAGGTAGGTGTCAGAACTGCTAGAGTCTTTATTCAACATGTTGCTGGGTATCCTTATATGAGGGGATATCCTGAAGTG